TCAGCCCACGCCTCACTGCCTTTGCTTCTTTTGTTCTGCTTCTTTCCACAGCACATGAACTGGACCACTTGTCTTTTTTCCCATTTCTCCACCATATGTCTGCTCATCGTAATGACACCTGCCTATGGGATGCCTTCAGCCAGCCCCGGCCGTGAGTACTCTGGCGGAACTGCGTGTTTATTCCCCCGCCTGGATCTTGAGTACTCAGGTTGGACTGCGGATGCCTTCAGTCAGCTGAACTGCATGCTTTTAAAACTATGAAATATAATGGATTTAGCCTCTACATTTTTTCCTTCTTAATAAGCATCTTGGCCTATTTTCTATTTTCTATTGCTAAGGTATAGTACTACAGACTTTGTTTTGGATTAGGGTTTTGGTTGACAACATAGGGGCTATATGGAGTGTGTGTGTGTGTGTGTGTGTGTGTGTGTGTGTGTGTGTGTGTGTCCTTAAGTCTTTTTCTTTTCTCACAAAGTCGCTAGTAGTCAATCATAGCGTCTTTCCCCTGATGATCTTACCTAATCACAATGTTCCAGAGGCCTCATCTTTAAAATACCATAGTTGGGTCATTGTTCTAGCCTTTTAATACCTCCCAATTGGGTTAAAACTTCAAAGAGAGTTTTGGAAAAGACAAATCAGATCCATACCATACATAACATATGTCATCTTGATACAGAAATGTTGATGGTATATTGATCAACATTGATGAAATGGTTACATATAAATTATATATTATTTTTAAATCGCTGCCAGTTTTTCTCATTTTAATAACTCCCTTAACACCTATAATTGGAAACCTCCACTTCTTTTTCTTTGTTAGTTCATTCGTTTAAGATAGGTCTCATGTAGCCCAGTATGGAGCCTGAACCAGCTATCATCTTAGCCAAGCTAGGCTTCCAATGGTGGGACTGAGAAACCACCCCAGGCACAAAACCTTTGAACCCAAACCTGTCCTGTCTGCGAAACTTGGTGGGGCTACAGTGGTTCAGAGCTTGTGGGAATGGCAAACCAACGACTGGTCTAATTTGAGGCCCAAGCCATGAGTTGGAACCCATGCCCTAGCCTCCTCAGATGGCCAGCAACTGAAAGCTAGATTGCTAAGAGACCCAGAGAAGAACCAAACACAACTGACAATAAATAAGTAAATAAATAAACAAACAAACAAAATATTCAATGAAACTATTCCTAAAAATATTCTGCTGGGGGGAAGCGGCCCGGGAGCCAGCCCTGATGAGCTGCACTGTCTCCACGGTGTAGCAGGCCTTGACTGCTAGCCTCAGCAAGGCCACTACCCAGTCCGGCCCCATTCCCTGCGACCTATGTCCAAGCCACAGGGCCCTGTAGTCGGATGCGACGAGCGGCAGCCCTGGGCCCCAGCTCAGAGGCTCCCGGTGCAGAGGACATGGTTCACTCTCCGGCCCCCCTCCCCTGTGCATGCTCCAGATGGCATGGGGCCTAGGAGCTGCTTAGGCCACACCGAGTCATGCCCGACCGGACACCGGACAGAGACAGTGCAGGGCATTGTTCAAGCACTGACCAACCTCAGCACTACCCCACCCTGCTGCATGACCTCAGGAAACGGAAACTCTGCCTCCAGCATCTGTCCCCCAGAATAGTGGGATGCTCGTCCCTGCTGGTCGGGAATCTCAAGAAGTATGCACAGGAGTTCTTCCCTGAGAAGCTTCCCCAGCAGGATCATACCACCACCACTGACTCAGAGATGGAGGAGCCCTACCTGCAAGAATCCAAAGAGAAGGGTTCCCCCCCAAACTCAAGTGTGAGTTCTGTGGAAGGATGGACTTTGCCTACAAGTTCAAACTTTCCGAGTGCTTCTGTTCCATGACTTGTGTAAAGAGGTATAATGTGGGATGCCCCAAACGAGCGGGGCTCTTGCACTCAGACTGGAGCAAGCTGCAGAACGCAAGGACCCCAACCCACAACCTCCGCCGGGCCAGCTAGGCTAGCATGCCCACACTTGCCAGGAACTCCAAGAAGCAGCCCTCGGGCACTGTAGCCCTTTCAGTTACTGCTACCTTGCAGCTGAAACACAGCCGGGAAGACTCCAGCCCGTGCTCAGATAACTCAAGCTACAAGGAACCCTTGTCACCTATCTCAGACAGTTCATCCACCTCCTCCGGACAGCGACAAGGCCAGAGGAATCTGGAGCTCCCTGAAATGCACATGCGGGACTTGGTGGGCATGGGGCACCACTTCCTACCAAGTGAGGCCACAAAGTGGCATGTAGAAGATGTCTATGAATTCATCCGCTCTCTGCCAGGTTGCCAGGAGATCGCAGAGGCTATCTGTGCCCAGGAGTTTGATGGGCAAGCCCTGCTGCTGCTCAAGAGGACCACCTGATGAATGCTATGAGCTTCAAGCTGGGGCCTGCCCTGAAGATCTATGCCCGCATCAGCATGTTCGAGGACTCCTACTAGAGTCTCTGCTGCCTGCTGCCCCACCAGGCAGCCAGGGTTCCAGCCCCAGGTGGGTGCCGCCTCCTGATGGAGCAGAGCCACACAGACATTCCTGAAGAGCCCTGGATAGGGCCAGTTGGAGGGAAGGGGCTCTCCCTAGGGGTGCAACTGTGAGGAGGTCTCTGTGCCTCTTCAGTGGCTCTCAGGGGCCATTTCTGTGGCAGGGTGGAGGTAGGTGGCGCTTGTAAACACTGACAGACTGCCTTCCTCCAAAGTCCCAATTTTCTAGCCCCCCAATCCTTTCTCTGTCCCCCATTTTCCAGGGGACTTATGGTCAGGGCTTCCCAACATGAGTTGGGTCACTTCCAAGAGCAGCCAGCAGGCCTGGACAGAGGTCTTGAAAGCCCTTGCCTTCTCTCCCCTTCCCCCTTTTCTCCAGGCCCGGCTAACCTTCCGTTATCAGCTTCTCCCCCTTCAGCCTGTTCCCACAGCATCCAGGGGCTCTACCCCTGTACCCTTTGCAGGTGGAGAGGGAGAAGCTGTGCCCGGTTTAGCCGTGCCTGCTGGCACAGACGCCTTAACGCTGTGTGTATGACTGTGTGACTGGGAGCCTGGACTGACAGGCCGTGAGCTGCCCTCTGGCATCTCCGGGTGGTTTGTAGTAAACAGCCTCTTAGTGCTTTGTCCTGGACTCCACTCAGCCTGAGGCTGGGGAATAGAATAAAGGGCAGACCCTGAGAGTTGGAGATTAGAGGTTCCCTCCAGATAGCAAGAGGTTTCTGGGAAGGTCTCCTCAACACCAAACTGCCGATGTGTTTCCTGCTAGCTGGCAGACAACACAAGGAAGCTCCAGGGGCTAGACCATGTGGCCCAAAGCCCGAGCCTCCCATGACTTATCTGCCTGCCCATTCTCACACTGGCTGGAGGCACTGTGGACGCAGCCTTTGGCCTGCCACTCGCACACTTGCTTGTAAAACTTACATAGCAGTAACAGCTACCCAAGGAAGGGCAGGCCACCTCTGACTTGCTGTCCTTACCAACTCTGGGAAGTCACTCTTCCCGGGAGGGGTGGGCACTTTCTCAGCTTACTCTGCCCCCTTTTCCACACCCCCAGACATGGTTGGAAATGAAGAACGTTTTTAACCTTTTGTTTTTAAAAAATAAATCTGTAAAATCTGAAGAAAAAAATATATTCTGCTGTACTTGTAGATCGGTGTTTAATCCAGTTCCTCCAGCAACTGATGAGAGCAGATGCAGAGACCCAGCCAAACCTTAGGAGGAGCTTGGGGAACCCTGCAGAGGGGGAATAGGATTGTAGGCACCAGAAGGGCTGAGAATACCACAACATGGCCCACAGAATCAACTAAGTAGGGCTCATATGGACTTACAGACACTGAAGCAGCAATCGCGAAGCCTGCATTGGCCTGTGCTAGGTCCTCTGCATATATGTTGTGGTTAACTTGGGGTTCGTATGGGACTCCTAACAGTGGGACTGGGGTTGCTTCTGACTCTTTTGCCTGCTCTTGGGACCCTTTCCTCCCAGCCAGTTAGCTTGTCTAGTCACAGTATGGTAGACTCTGCTTAGTCCTACTGCGTCTTGTTATGCTGTGTTAGGCTGATATCCCTGGGAGACCTACTCTTTTTTGAAGGGAAGTGGATCAGGAGTGGATCTGGGAGAGAGGTGAAGTGGGGGTGGGTGGGAGGAGACATGGGAGAATAAACAGAGAAAGTCAGAAAATTAAAACAAAATAACTTGTAAACAAATAACGTGTAATGTTCCAAACCCCAAAGTACCTAGGCTTGGGAATTTCTACTTTAACAGCTCTCATTCAAACCTTCTTTGCCAGCATCCTGACTCTTTTTTATTTGTTCTGTTAGTATACCACATGATTTTATATATCTCCTCTTAGACTCTAATTTCTATGGATAGGCAAAAAGGCCTCTTTTCTTAAAATTGTCACTACTAGTGAAGGGAGCAGGCAAAAGTGCCTTGGTCTGAGTACTGCCGTTTTTACTTCAGACTCCATTTTACCTGCAGAGTGAAATTAAATTCAGTTTCCCAAGCCCTAATGCAGTTGAGAACTTTCCAATTGCTGACCAACGTCCTCCTTAAACCATAGAAATAATCATTATGCATCTGTATTTCTCTAGTAACATTATGGTTGTTCCTAACAATGGAAGGAACAAATGAATCTGATTGATTGGACTAAAAGGCTTGCGTTGTATGCCAGTTAACAATAATGGAATATTCATCAAGGTAGTGCCTAATCACTGAATCCTGATTGGTGAAAATTATGACTATAACCTGGCAACAAATGTTTGCGAATTTTATGCTTATAAACTCCACTTCTGCCCCTGCTCAGGAAAAGAGAAATAAAGGTTCCCAAGTCCTTGTCCTGTAGCCCTGATCAATCAGTTATCTGCCTATGTGGTGAATAAATAAAAATCTTTGGAACACATAAGCATTGTCTCTCTTCTTCCTCGTGGCACATAAATGGTCCAGGTGTAAAACTAGCAGTCTTCCAAAGAGAGGGTAACCAGAACAAATTATCTATTGGGCAAAGAATCAATTTTCTCTTTCTTACATCTTTATTCAGTTAACAACAAATAAGAGCATTTCTTCAAACTACCAAAAAGTGGAATAGAAACAAAAGTGAGTAAGGGAAAATGGTAGTTTTTACATTTTGACTTGTTTTCCTATTCTAAGAAACAGATTTCACACATTTCAAAAAGATCTCCATTACAAAGTCACGGTTGCTTGCTCTTCAACTTGACATTCAAGGGTGTCTAGAATGTAATACAGAATATCAAAATTCTTATGCTTAAATCTTCTAGCAACTAATAGTATGATCTATGTCATTTATAACTATTGATTCTAAATCGAAAAGAGGTCTTCAAGAAAAGGAAAACACTTGAAAAATACTACTGTATAACCAAAGCACAAGAAGATACACATTATGAACCACCAGCCTCTTACTACTTTTAAATTGGGAAACCCTGCTCCAAAGCTAAGGCTACTCTGCCTCTAATTTCCCTAGGAGCAAGAGTCGTCACCAGGTGTGGCTTCAGACTCTGCCTTGTCTTCAGCAGCAGTGTCATGCCCCCCTACAGCTTCAGCTTGGGCTCTCTCTTCCTGATCTCTCAAAGCCTCTTCATAATGAGATGGGAAAGCCTGGGGAACGGTCTCATTGACCTTGGCTAAAAACTCCAGGACTTTCATCTTGGTGGTTTCAGCATTGGCTCGGGGACCCCACAGAAACTCATAGGATGGAGGATCACTACCAACCACCTTACGGTATTCCAGGTATTTTTCCTTAACCAAATCGTTGGTGATAAGCTTTCTGGGCTCCCCAAAGATTATGTGTGCCTTCCCATCATAAATTCCCAAAATATTCAGGAATTCCCAGATATCTGTCTCAGAGGCACGGTTGCCATTCAAGAAGATCACACCCAGCAGAGGCATCAGCAGCCCATTCTGGGGAAAAGGCAAGCTAGTGGTCAGAGTCCCCTCAACACTGGGGTCTAACTTGCTGACAAGGGTGTAGTAGCTACCGTTGGGCTTAATTTGCTTTACTTCAAGACCAAAAACCAGCTGTATGCGCTCAGAGGCTTTCTTGAGGATATCAGGAAACTGCTCCTTGAATCTTTTGTTGATAACTTTCAGCATTTCTCCCTTATACATGGGCTGTTTCAGTTTGTACTTGCAGAGCAGATACTGCATCAGCATCCCCGTCTTCCTTGATAGAAGATTACTCTGGGGGCTCTCAGTGGAGTGTGGGGCCATAGAGAAACTAAGACTTTGCTCCCTTCGGCCTTTGGCACCTTTACCAGATCTGCGGGACACACGTTTCCCAGCAGTGATTGTAGATGCCTTGCCCTGAGGTTTAGACATCAGAGACAGGCTAGCAGCAGAGGTGCTTGCAACAGCATCTCCAGAATCATGAGCAGAGGAGGGTGACTCTTCTTTCTCTGCTGCCTTTGCTTGAGCATCCTGGAGCCCCTGGACCTCATCTTGGATCTGGCGGCGCTTCTCACGAGCACGGGCCTTACTCTTATGTCCCCTGGGCATGGTGGCTGTGGTTAGAAGCAAAGGGAGTGATAATGAGACCCTGTAAGTACTTTCAGGGTGATCAGTAGCAACCTGCCTATACAGGTTTCTGTACAAACATAAAACACTAATCTAGGAACCCTTCTTAGTTAGCCTGAGTGTGTCCAGGCTGCAACCAGCCAGGCTCCCCTGAGGCAGCCTTGGTGCCAGTGAAGTCTAGTGGAGTCTTCTCAGTTCACACACAGTACTTTTGGCAGGTCCTACAGCCTCTTTCCTGTGCTCGCTCAGCAGTGGAAAGCTCAGGTCTCCCTAGTCGTCATGAAATCCTAGTAGTCATGAAAAGAAAATGCAAGAGGATTTTCCTCCCACTGCTCCTAAAAGAAGAATTGCTAACAGCTCTGTGGGAATATCTCATTCATGTCTCTGGGTCCCTTCATTTAAGAATTACCATTTTGCCTCCATACAGGGTCAAGAACACTCCTTTCTCCTGTAACTTCAGCCAGAGGATCTCATCTCTCTTAAACACAATACAAAGAAATGAGAAGTCTCAACTGTGTTCTGAGGCTCCAAAAGGTGAGAGCCAAGACTGCCACAGACTATTGTTTCCATAAACTGGGGCTGAGGGAAATGTACCTTCTGTTCTCACCTATTTAATACACTGAAGCTTGAAGTGAGCTACCCTCTACACTTAAACCTCACTGACACTTAGCAGAGGGTGTGAGAGTGTCTCTATGTAGCTGTATTGACTGTAGTTTCCAGAGGGCCAAAGTCGTGGCAGGGAGGTTAAGGTCCTATCACCCGTTGTCTCACTTCTGGTCCTCACTCAGTCTTTAACTAGAGTCTCAAGAAGGCCTAAATTCCACCCCTTGGTGATTCATCAGACTAAGACCCTCATTTTTCTGCTAGTCTTGCACAGAAACTAAGGGAATTTCTGTAACTGAGGCCTTGTGGGATAACATCAAGAGGGACTCTGTGGGACCACCCCCAATATGGGGTGTCAGTTCCCTAAATTCTTTATGATCACCTGGAAATCTCCTCCACTGACTTGATGCCTTTCAAATAAGAGTAAGAAACCTGGGACGAAAGAAAGCATGAGCTACAACCAGCAATGTGTACCCTCTATGGGACCCTACTGTTTGGAGGTCACGGCTTTCTGTAGTTCTCACTCAGCAAAGGTGGAAGCTCAATACTCAGCCCATGTGATTCCTCCAGCCTTAGAGCAAGGTCTCCATTTTTCTGACTCTCCAGAGCTAGATGAGGAAGGAGAGTATATCCAGTGAGTTCTGCTTGGAGTTTCCCAAAGGGAAGGACTTTGTGGATTGTACTTTCTCATTAAGTATTCCTTTCTCGTAGTCCTCCCCCAGTCTCCTCACTGTCTTAGTGTTTATCGACTCATACTAAGGCCTTCACACGCCTGAGGGACTCTAAGCAAATTCTTAGCTAGCCTGGAATCTCACCAGCTTGCTGTCGTCTCCAAACACTGCCTGCTTAGTCAGGGGAAAACTGTGTACTGTCTTGTTATGTGGTGAGTGCATCCTAAAGTTGTCAGAATACTTTCCTTGACTTCTGGAACTGGGAGTTCTCTACCTGTTAAACTGAGGCTGTCCATTTACCTTCCGTAGATGCTTCAGAGAGAAGATAATGAGACTTGTGCTGCCATATCCATGACTTGTAGGTAGGTACAACGATTTATGTGGGTTACTATATTGGCAGACAGGCCTCTTTATACTTAAATCAAATTAATTCCTGTTAGGAATCAGGTCTCCTACTAATGCCTAATGGATGTTCTCCAAATAAATCGAAGGATTAGTGTCCCTGAGACCCTACATGAATAAAATTAGGCGGGATCTAATCCTGAGAGCTCTAACTCTGGATTCTCAAGGCTGAAACTGTAAACCGCAACACCCTCTGGCTGTCAGCTGAGTCACTATAACTCTCTCCATTAAATACTGGGAAGGGGAGAGGCCGCCCTGTGCGACGGCTCAGTGGGTAAAGGCAAGCCTAATAACTTAAGTTTGATCCCTGAAACCCACATGATGGGAGGAGAAAGGGGACTCCTAAAAGCTGTCCTCTGCTATCACATTCCACACACACATTTTAATACAGACACGTGTCCACACACACTAAATGTAAAATAAACTAATTAACATTGAATATGGGTCAGTGAGCAGCTCATCCTGATAACTTAAGTTTCATTCCCGGAATGTAATTCCAAGTCAAAGTGAGAGTCAGCCTCAAAAAAAAAGCAAAAAAAAAAAAAAAAGCAAGGCAGGGGTGGTGGAGCAGGATGTTAATCCAGCCCTCAGGAGGCAGAGGCAGGCGAATCTCTGGGAGTTCGAGTCCAGCCTGGTCTACAGTGCTAGCTCCAGGACAGCCTCCAAAGACACAGAGAAACCCTTTCTCGGGGGGGGGTAGGGTGGACAACCCCAAGTAAACAGAACAAAGGCCTCCTCAGAGTCAGTCATTAGCCATCCCCGCTTCCCCCCACGCAACCCCGCCCCCTGCGTCCTCCCTCCAAACCCCTCCCCCCAAACCCCGAGACCTGCCTCTCCCGTTTCCCCCGCCCCCTGCTTCCCCTCACACAACCCCGCCCCCTGCGTCCTCACCCCCAATCCTGCCCCCCAACCCCGTGCCCTGCCTCCCCTGCAATCCCGCCCCTGCCTCCCCCCAACATTGCCCCCTGCCCCCCCTCTCCACGCCGCTCTCTGCTAACAGGGTTTTTCTTCTTTAAAAACATTTTTGGTTGTTGTTTTTTCGAGGCAGGGTTTCTCTGTATTGTTTTGGAGGCTGTCCTGGAACTAGCTCTGTAGACCAGGCTGCCCTCGAACTCACAGAGATCCGCCTGCCTCTTAAAATGTATCCTCGTGCGACAGCCTCCAAAACAATACAGAGAAACCCTATCTCGTAAAACCAAAAAAAAAAAAAATGTGTCCCCGTGTACCCTGGCCCACGCATGTGTCGGTCGGAGAACAAACGGTCTACTTGCTACATCTACCGTGCGCGTTCAAGGGATCGAACTCGGACCCTCGGGCCTGCACGGAAAAGAGTGTTCAGCCGCGGAACTAGTCTGCCATTCCCCGTGTTTCTTTTTCTAAGGGAAAAAAATAAACCCAAAACGTCTTTCTCGGAGAGTCTGAGTGGAAATAAGGCTCCACTTCAGTCATAAAAGCCTCCCGAGGGCGATTGCTGTGAGGATGGCTACTGGGTAGATGACCATGATGATGACTCGACGGAACGAGGGACAAAGGAGGCCAGACGAACCCCGGCACGAGGAAACAACATTTGTGGGGTCTGCTCTATCAGGGGTGAGGGGTTTGTCCCCTCAGAACACATTCAGGGACCTTACCTTGATTCCACAGGAGTCAGAGAAATTTGCCCTCAGCAGATCCACGCAGTGGACGGCCCTCAGCAGATCCACGCAGTGGACGGCAGTGGCAGCGAGAGCAGCTTCTCCGTGTGGACGCCACTGAGATTCTGGCTTTTACAGCGGAAGTGAGAAAGAACTATATCCGGTTATGTTTGCGTGGGGTCTCCTGGAGCTAACGGCAGGGGTACGGGGTATGTTTCTCTAACGTCAGGGGTTACTAACGGACGCTGCTATTTCACAATCGGGGTTCTAGAGTGTTACGTAATAAACGAAAGAGCTTGAAATTCTTCACTGGACTGACTTAAGACCCTCTACCTCCAAATCAAGCCCTGATCTTCCATGGGGTCCCCACAAAAGCAATGGAGCCAAACCTCAAATAGCCTCTTCTGTGGTAACCCCTGGGAATAGCAGCAAGGGAAAGACTCCAAACTCCTTTGTTTTGCAAACAGACACTGAGAATGACCTATACAGGTCTCATGTAGTCAGATCTTCTCCAATAAATTTCTTCCTTTGTTGAACTAGGGTCCCCACCTACTAGAAATTACTACTTTGTTTTTGGAGACATTTAGGACAGACAGGATTGCCTGTCTGGTGGTTCCGTATGGAAACTCAGATTTGTATTTGTTAAGTGATCACACACACAAACACACACACACACACACACACACACACACACCACCTTGTTTTTTAGTATAATCTAACACTTAAAGTTATCATAACACATTCTTGGAAGATCCTAGGATTTTCCTTCTAGCAAAAAATTGACGCTGTTCCCGTCAAACGAAAACCCTCACTTCACTGAAATTTTCTAAGAAGAAATCTGTTTGATATATCATGTTACCTTGAACCTCCTAGGGAATAGAGAATTGAGCATTTTGTGGTATCTATCTGTGGAAGCCATTCTGGAGTACACACTACGTGTAACTCCCAGTCAGATGCTGACCTGGACAAATGGCCTGTTTACAGATTTCTCTGACTTTTGCACCCACATCTTTCCTCCACAAGAATTCTAATTTGAAAGTGAGGGTGATTCCCAGTTCTTTTGGTCACTGTAATAATGTATAGCAAGAACACAGCATTGCAGGATTCCACAGTTCTGCATGGGTATTTCTATTTTTGCTCATTTATGCTCATCACATTTATATCCACCCTAGCCTAGTACTGGTTGCCTTCATTAAGGTTCTAAATGATTCCTATATTGTGGTGTGACTGTTTCCCAATACGCATTCATCTTGATTGCTATCTCTCGTTTAAATTCAGGGGAATTAGATAGCCCTGAAAAAAAAGTTGACCATTTTTCTGATTGCAGACCATTAAAAGAAGTCCTTTTCCTAGGACTGTAATGTCAAGAAATTGCAACACAAGGAAGGACTTACAGTGGCTTAATTGTTCCCAAGTAAATTCTTGTTCCTAAGGGATAGCACCAAATGATATTAAAAACACCTTTGGGGGCTAGAGAGATGGTTCGGTGGTTCTAGAGGATCTGAGCTTGATTCTCAGCACCTACATGAAATCTGATGCCCTCCTTTGTCCTTCAGAATCACCAGGCATGCATTTATACATAGAGTAAAACTCTTTAAGAAAAACAAAAACAATTTAGGAAACACCTTTTAAAGCTGATATGATAATCTTAAATATGACAAAGTTGAATTGAAATGGAAGGAAACTAATGCTAAAATGTATTTTTTTTTTTGGTTTTACGAGACAGGGTTTCTCTGTATTGTTTTGGAGGCTGTCAGTCCAGCCTAACCTCGAACGCTCAGAGATCTGCCTGCTTCTGCCTCCCGAATGCTGGGATTAAAGGTGTGTGCCACCACCACCCGGCTGCTAAAATGTATTAATATTATGCTCTCAACTAACTACCAATTAATCTTTGTAATAATACGATAAAATCTTTTAAGAGTATATTCTATTGGTTTTATATTTATTTTGATATTCACTGTTCAGTTTTGCTTCATTTTTTCTTTTTAATTTTTTATTTAAATTAGAAACAAGCTTGCTTCACATATCAATCCCAGCTCCCTTTCCCTCCCCTAACCCCCCCCCACCAGGTCCCCCAGTCTCCCACCCAATGCCTACTCCGTTCCCCAGGGAGTGTGAGGCCCTCCGTGGGGGATCTCTAGAGTCTGTCATTTCATTCAGGGCAGGGCCTAGGCCCTCCTCCAAGAGTCCAGAATGAGAGAGCATCCCTCATTGGGGGATGGGCACCCAAAGTCCATTTGTATGCCAGGGATAAATACTGATCTACTACCCAAGGCCCCATAGATTGCCTAGGCCTCCTCACTGACACCCACATTCAAGGGGTCTGTATCAGTCCCATGCTGGATTCCCAGGCATCACTCTGGGGTCCAAGAGCTCCCCCTTGTTCAGGTCAGCTGTTTCTGTGGATTAAGCCAGCCCAGTCTTGACCCCTTTGCTCATCAGTCCTCCTTCTCTGTCACTGGGTTCCAGGAGTTCAGTTCAGTGTTTTTGCTTCATATTTTTATGTGTACTTGTGCTCTCAATGAAACTTAAAATTTTTTGTTCTAGTTAAAAAATGACAGGGCTATCAAGATAAATCTTGTGTTATCAGAGAACACACTGATCTGTTAGTTTTCTTTGCCAAATATAAAGGCTCTTCTAAAATACTTGCTTTCTTCACAGAAGGATAAAGCCAGATGATTTTCTGAGGCTCAGGTCTTTTGAGTCTATCCAATTTTGCATATGTCACTGTTCATATTGTATTATCCCTCTTTTATCCACCCTTCTCAGTTCTTTTTATATTCTTATTGATGTTATATTCTAATTCAGCATTTTGGTTAGAGTTAATCACCTGAAGTATATTTGGAAATAGTAAATGAAAGCAAATGAAGCAGTTCGTGGTCAGTTCAATCTTGAATAAGTAGAATAGAGTGGGTTTTTGCGACCAAGAATTTAGGCTCAGCTTAGTCATTTACCAGCTGGATGAGCTTTGGTACATTACCAAACTCTATGACCCTCAGGCAGTGCATCTGTGAAATTAATTCATATGATCTGTCTTATAAGATTGCTAATGTGTGGTTAGTGTATGCAAATATCTGGCACCATACCTGGAGTGCACTGACACTTTGAGAGATGTCTACCATTACTACCATTGCTACAGTTGTTTTAACTACAAAGGATAGTATTTCACCCTGAAGCATTTTTTCAACATAGTATTTTTTGATTCATTTGGAATCTCACATCATGCACTCTGATCACACTCACTTCCCAATCCTTCCATGTCTGACACCCCGCTCTTGTGACTTCTCCCCCCCCAAAAATTAAAAATAAATGGAAAAAAATAAGTCAAAATTGTGTCATCTGTATACTCACTGGAGCATGGTCAAACTCTCAATGACTTGCCCCTTAAATAGAACTGAATCCTTCCCCTACCACACCCACAAGCCTTCAAGTGTGGAGAGCTACACTTAATCGTCCTAATCACACTTTTTAAGAGCTCTCTTAGATGGGTTCCTGTTTTAGGTTGCTACTTTGGGGGAAGTGGAGGGTAGGGATTGTCACAGAAGCCTTCATGTTCCTCTTTCTCACATGTTCATTTGAAAGTCATCAATAATCGTTACAAAAGTAACTTCCTTGCTCTTTTCTACAGTAACATGGGGCATTGACATCTCAGGTGCACTAGGACCACAGATGGAACATTGCCCTCTAAGGCAGCACAGACCCATACATTACCATGACCTCAGGTTGCAGCATAGACCACTCACATAAATACGATCTTCAAAAACCGGACCTTCGACATGAGCATGAATTCAGGCAGCAGTACTGACCACGAACAACTTCATAGCCCTTGGTGATAACACACAGCTACAGATATCAACAAAGACCCTAGTTGCTGTAGGACCACAGACCCGATGAGAGACAGGTGGCCTGGCTGACTTCCACAAAAAGTTTGACACCATGGATGTGGAACAACAAATCAGCTCAAAATCACACTTCCAAAAAACTTTAAGAACAAGTTCCCTCATTAAATTATATTTTCAGCAAAGGTGTCTTTCCCAGCTAAATATTCTAGGATTCTATTTAAAGACTAAATTTGACTTTCTGCCCCAGTGGTGTCCAACCTTTTGACATTGCAATACGGTGTTGTGATCTGTAAACATTTGGGGGCATATTCATAGATATTCTTGGATACCATCACCCAAAAATCCATATCTGCTTTGACTGTACACACACAAACACACACACACACACACACACACACACATGCCTGAAATTTAAATATCTTTTTCGTGGAATAGGATTCCCAGTTCACTGTAAAAAAGCACCATCCTGATGACTTCCAAGTTTTTAACCTCAAAGAGCACAGGACATATTCTTTGCATGCCCTAGATGGAGACTCTGTCCAGTGTATTCATGGTCCCATGATATCTGTCTCCAGAGATTTTCTGTTCTGTGCCTAGAATCTCAGCTCTGAGCATCTACAGTCTCATCTAGTCTCCATGCAGTCAATGTATATTTACCTGCCACTGAAGAATATGAAGATGCCCAATGTCTAATATTAGCTTATCTAGGAAAATTTATACTAAGAGTACTCATTGGAATGCCTCATATTTGATCCTCTTCTGTGGCTTCTCTTAGGAAGCATCTGGCCACCTTTGTATTATAGATTCTCCCTGTGTCTGTGTCTGTGACTGTGTCTGTGACTCTCTCTCTCTCTCTCTCTCTCTCTCTCTCTCTCTCTCTCTCTCTCTCTCTCTCTCTCTCTCTCTCTCTCTCTCTCTCTCTCTCTCTCTCTCTCTCTCTCTCTCTCTCTCTCTCTCTCTCTCTCTCTCTCTGTGTGTGTGTGTGTTCAGATGTAAGTCTGTACAAATATATGTAGATGCCAGTGATCAGCTTCAAGTGTCAATATTCATGCACTGTCAACCTGGATTATTTTTTGAGACAGAATCTTTCATTGGTCTGGAGTTCACCCATTAGGTTAATATGACCAGCCAGAATTAGTCTGCAAATGTAGAAGCCTGTTGTTAACCTCAGGCATCATTCCTTAGGAGCGATTCACCTCATTTTTTGTGATAAAAGATTTATTATTAAAACCTGATTGTTTATATAACATGATTGTTAATGATTTGGGGAGAATTTCACATCA